AAGCAAGGTGAGGGATTCTGTAGAGGGGATATTTTGTGTTTGACCTAAATTACTTAATTCAGGAGTTGGAACATTGTTAAAGAATGAGCAAAAGACTTACAAGAAGAGAACAGAAGAGGCTTGTGGTTAAGTTGCATGCTACAAATGCTGCACATACTTTGCTGTATGCCTGTCTCTTCTCCAGACGCTGGACAGTCTGGCACATGTCCACGCTTGGTGTGTTCCTCATTATCTGCATTCTCAGGGACCTCAGGTCTGGTTACTAGATTACTGAATAACCCACACTTCAACTTATGTCAGCTAAAGTAATGAGTTCTTGATATATTTCTATTTAGAGGGCATTTCTGGACTAGATTAATGAAGAGACATCCATTTGGCCTCATTGTTTTGTTGCTCCTCTCCTCCCCTCTCCTTCACAAATCATGCTGTTTTGCAAGCATGCATCTGGGAGTTGGGAGCTGGCTTTGCATGTGATGATTTGGGCAAAAAAGATGTTGAGTGTTTCAGTCTTTTTCATATCATCTGTCATTCAGTTGTCTTCTGCCATTCAGCAGCAGACATGCATTTACTACTAGAATACTTGTAGAACCCCTTCTTTTTACCCTTGATGTTCTTCACTTCCCTTAGCTCCAGCTGCACTTTGGCCTTCTGAAGTGGCCTATCCTTTTTGTAGTCCTCCTTTGTATCCTGTCCTTGACTTTAGTTCGTATACACTCCTGTTTTGCATTTTTGTTTGTTAAGAAACTCACTATTTAGTCAACCTGACCTTATGCAAAATTTTGTGGTCTTCTGTGTAATAAGATGCTTTGTTCCTGAACTCTCAAGAAATTTTCTTTAAAAATTAAGTGGCTCTCCTGGACAATCTTTCCTTTGATGGCAGTTTTTCAGGAAGATTCTGCCCAGTAATTCCCTGCAGAAGCTGAAGTTTGCTCTCCTGAAGTCCTGGGTCCTATGCCTGATGCTTATCTTCCCACCCTTCCTTTGAATCCTAACTGTAATCATCTTGTGATCACTACAGCTCAGAGTGTCTTCTCTGACCAGATTTGTCACCAGTACTTTACTGTTGGTGAGCAGAAGGTCAAGTAGAGTGAAGTCCTGCCCTTGGCTGATTTGCCTCTCCAGCAGGTGCACTAGGAAATTGCCACCAACATAGTCTAGAAATCTCACGGATCATCTATGCAGGCTGGGTATCTGGGTAGTTGAAGTCTGCCATGAGGATGAGGTCCTGTGATCAGGATACTTCTGCTTGTTGTTTGTAGAGAATTGTCCTCTTCTTCATCTTCATGCTTATCAATGCATAGTTGGTAGCAACCCCCCACCATAACATCACAAATGTTGGTTTCCCTTCTAATCCTGACCCAGCGACTAGGCAGTCCATGGATATACCTTCTGTTTCATGCTGGCATTTGACACCATCCAGGAACTCCATTATATGGAGTGCCACTCTTCTCCCTCCCCACCCCCTTCCTTCTGAAGCCAGCTGCACCCATCGGTGACCATGCCTCTCCCGTGAGCCCTGTCTCAGTACTCTCTGATTCCAGGCAGGTTCACAGCCTTGTGATTCCCTATGGACTTTCAGTTCTCCTTGCTTGTGGTCCAGGCTCTGCAAGGTAGTGTGCAGGCGCTTTAGGGAAGCCTCTGAACATCCTCTCTTCTGAGGGGGAATGTGGAAATCACATGTGGCCTTGTCATGGTTTTTTGGGCCATTAGAGCCACCGTAGTGATGAGCACCAGAAAAAGGGGGAAAGAAAAAATTAATAATTCAGTACACAGTTTGTCACTTGAGAAAGGAAGATACTGCATAATGTATGACCAAGCTACATAGGAATGTAGTTTGCCACTTGCTTGGTTTCCTAAGCATTTTCCATTTTGAAGTGCAGGGATCCTGTGAAAGGAAAATCAGTTTGTGGTCAAGTGGCTGAATGCTATGTAAATGCATATACAGATATGCATTGTGTGTGTGTGTATACACATGCATATATACACAAAGTTGTTCTCTATTCAACCTATTATAACCCTTAAAAGATAGCTATTCTTTTTACTTAATAGGTATTTGAACTTTTATCCTTGCCAACAGTCATGCATGTTCAAATATTCCAAGATAAGTTTTGTATTGTCCTGTTCCTGCAAGAAACCTTTCAAACTTATATTTTCTATTTGTCAGAAAGTGTCTTTGTTTAGAATCACAGCAGATCTAACAGAATTATCAGGCAAATGTTATTCTGAGTGCATTGTAAACAGTTTAGATGATTCTTTAAAAATATGGGTGGACTTGAACCCTAGAAGTAAAAATCAGAAGTCTTATATTTGTATATTTTTAAATATACTATCTTTAAAAGACTCTTTTTCTTTGTATAAGGATGTTCCCATATGCTTGTTCTGTTTGTTTGTAAAGCCTGTTTCATTGTAGCGTTTCATTACTGGTAAATTTAATATTTTTCATTCTAAGTAACATTGTTATAAGGTGTATCCTGAAAAATATGTTTCAAATACCTATATTTTAAACTTGTATATGTATATACATAAAATACATTTTTTATGTTTAGATATTTTTGTATTTTAAGCAGACACATGTAACTATATATGTATGCATATATATTCATTATATATATGTAGCACATGTATATGTTTCATAATAAGCAAGATGGAGGCCTTCCATCCCTTAAGTAGAACATAGACTTTGTAAGTGTTTGGGTTTTATCATATGTAGTTTAACGCAACATGAAATTATTCTAGCAGTTGCATCTAATCACAGAAACCCTGGAGATTAAAAAAATATCTCAATAATGTTCTTTATTCTGTTATATTTTTTGCTGATGCAAATACAGATACTAACATTGAAACTTTGGGATTTGTTTTCCAAAGAACTTATTGAAGTTAGATCCAGCAGACAGATATTTGACAGAACAATGTTTGAACCATCCTTCATTTCAAACCCAAAGACTCTTGGATCGCTGTGGAAGCTCACCTTCGCGGTCAGCTAAGAGAAAACCTTACCATGTAGACAGCAACACGTTATCTAACAGGTAAACGTAGTCATGTCACCGTCATCACTGGCATTTGCTCCATGAGTTGCTGTCATGCTTACATACAAGATCATCTACAAGAAAAGAAAATTAGTCGTTTGACAGTTTAGGCACATTGAGACATATACTGTTCCATGTTGCCTCACTGAATAAAGGAAGTTTTACTGTATTATAGCTACTCAAGCTGAAATTTTTGCCAACTTTCTGCATCAGGCTGAATGCTTCTTGAAAAAAAAGCAGAAACAATGTTCAAGCCATTTCTGCATATGACAAAGGAAAAATAAGTTGTCTTACCAGTGTTAAAAAAATGTTAGCCTTTTTCTTGAACAACAATAAGAATTTTGTGGCTTGGAGGACACCTGAGATTCCAAAGGAATGCTCTTTTCTTTGGAATGCTACCATTACTGTACATGTGCAAATCTGACCAAGGTTTTGATATTTGAAAGTTGAAAATGCACACAGATTTTTAACAGCTAAATGTCCTGAAAATTGTATGCATTGATGATCCTCCAAATTGGGGATGAATAGGATTTTGTCTGCTGTTGCAGTTATGAATCAAGTCTAGTCCCCTTAAAGCAGTTTGTATTAGCTCAATGACTCCCTTGTTAGACCCACATAGCTTGAGAGAAGCCACTTGATTTTAATATATCAATGAACCAGGTTTACTGGTGAATATAATACTTCAGTACAAAAAGCCTCATGGTATTCCTCTGAGAAAAGCTTTCCTGAAGTTTTTTTTCCTCTGAAGTATGCAGAATGATAGTGGCTTTTAATCCTAGCCATGTTTTTCTTTAGCTCTTCCTGTGAGATTCGAAAAATTACTCCTCATTTTAAGACTTGGGATGAAGACATTTACAATCTATACTTTTTCAGAGGTAAACACCAAGAAGTTTTAGCTGCCTTTATAGATATTTAGGATAGAAGTTTTACCATTAGAGGTGTGGCATCAGAAAGGAAAACCTAGATCCACGGGAAATGTCTTGTCTAATACAAAGGCTTACCTAGCTTGATTTAAAATGACTAGGTTCCTTATATCTCTTAAGTTTTAAAAAAATATACTTCCTTTTAATTAAAAAATACTTTAAACTGGCATTAAAATTGCTAAATTTCTAGAAACTGTAATAGAGTACATAATTAGATCACTGAAAGTGGGTAATACAAATATCCTAATATAAAAATGGCTAGCATTATCCAGTTATAATTATCAACAGGATCAACAAAGGTACAAACTCATCTATATAGTAAGCCATTACTTTAATCTTCAGTAATATATCTGAGTTACATTATCATAGACCTGATACGGAAATAAGTTAACTGTTCATAGCCAGACGAGGTCCATCAAGGCTAAAAGTGCAGCTGCAGCACTGCTCAGTCATGGCTAGTTTGCAATGCCAGCGTAAGTCCAGAAGCAGAATCGGGTTTGTTCCAGAAAACCTGAGATAATAAATCCTGCTCAAGTAAATTCAGGCTGAGTGTTTGCAGAACCAACTCATATCTCAGTCCCGTAATCCCAAACCCAGCAGAGCTAAAAAGCAGAGTAGAGGTGAAGGGCATCACCAAGTAGTTCTGCACCAAGTCAGTCTGACTGCAGAGCGTTTTGGGTGCAGCTTTGGGGATGAGACAGTGTGCCGAGAACTGGGATAGTGCCAAGTTCCACAAAAGTTGGGGTCCTTGTGTTAGACCTGCTTTGGGGTTTGCTGTTACAGGGCTTGCTCTGCTGTACTCAGCTCAGGCTCACTCCATCTGGGTGTTTTTACCGGCACAATATCCTCTTCCCCTCTCTCTGGCACCCCCCACCCCCCCGCCTCCAAATCAGACATACATTAGATGGCCTGAAGTATTGATTGTATCAGGGTTTTTTGACAGTGCTGACATACTTTATTGTTCTACCTTCACTTTGATATGCCAGGTGTGTTTAAGATTTTTTTCAATGGATATACAGCTCATTTTCATAATGTGATGCTTATATTATTGATGTGCACGTATATTACTCACACACATACATAAATGTGTAAATATATGTTGGAATTTCTATGATTGGCTTTTATATCTTCATTTTTTTGTCAGCAAAATCCATTAACCAAAGCTGAGTTTGTCCATCAAGGTGTAACCAGAAAGAAACAACAATGTACTGACACTTGCGATATGTTATTTTAGTGGAGCTTCTGATGCCTAGTTGGCAGTATTTGATCTTACTGCAGTTAAATTTTGTGGTTTTAAATGGCAGCTCCCTTCTGAAATGAGTGTACTTTTGTTGAAGTTATTAATACATGAATATGTAATCTGGTATATTAATGCTTCTTTATGCATTTTAATGTAGAAATCAAGCCAGCAAAAGTTCTGCTTTGCAGTCACACCACAGATCAAACAGCAAGGATATACAGACGCTAGGGGTTGGCGGGCCAAGAGAAGAGGGTCTTCCAGCAAATGAAAGCTTTTTAAATGGAAACCTTCCTGGAGCTGCACATAGTCCAATGCATACAAAAAAATCAAGCAACACACCTGGATCTGGCAACAAGGATCTAGCCAATAATAACATGCCACATCTTCTCAGCCCAAAGGAAACAAAGGCAAAAACAGAATTTGATTTTAATGTGGACCCAAAAAGTTCTGATGGTCCCGGCACAAAGTACCTGAAGTCTAACACCAGATCTCAGCAGAACCGGCACTCATTTATGGAAACTTCTCAGAGCAAAACTGGGACACTGCAACCCGGTGATAAGCACAGTCGCCACAGCTATATTGATACCATCCCACAGTCTTCTAAGAGTCCTTCGTATCGGACAAAGTCAAAGAGCCATGGGGTTCTGACAGACTCGAAATCCGTGGGCAACCTTTCTGAGGCCAGGGCCCAAGCTGCAGAACCAAACAGCAGTAGGTATTTTCCATCCAGCTGCATGGACTTGAACTCTCCTACCAGTCCAACTGCTCCCCGACACAGTGATAACAGAACTTTGCTCAGTCCGTCTGGGAGGAATAACCGCAGCGAGGGTACCCTGGATACCCGAAGACCATCAACAAGACACTCCAAAACGATGGAGGAATTAAAACTGCCAGATCACATGGATGGAAGCCATTCCCACTCTCTATCTGCTCCACATGAATCTTTTTCCTATGGTCTAGGTTATACCAGTCCTTTTTCTTCACAGCAGCGCCCTCATAGACACTCTATGTATGTGAGCCGGGACAGAGTGAGGTCAAAGGGCTCAGAGGGTGGCTTAAGCATAGGGCAAGGGATGGCAGCCAGAGCAAACAGCCTGCAACTGTTATCTCCACAGGTGCAGCATAAGTCACTCACAAGATCTGTTGGCTCATCACGAGAAGACTGTACAGAAGATACTAATAGGGTTAGTTCAAACTGTTGCCTGTTATGGAAGGCTTGCCTTCCTCTGTCTCACGTGGGGTCAATGTCCTGCTTTCTCTCTTCTGTCTGTTTGTTTGTTTGTTTGCATAATTATTTATTTATCTGTCTTGCTGTAAGGCAACAAGTTGGGGTTTTTTTCAGAAGGGCTAAATATTTCAAGTGCAAAATATGAGGGTATTTAAAAGATAATTTTTTTTTAAACGGACGATGACCATTCTCTTAAAGTACCGAAATGCGAGAACATAAAAAAAAAATGTCTCTGAAGTTAAAATTTCATTAGTAGTTCCTAGGTTTTGGTTACATTGCCTGATGTCATTCTTATCACATTGTTTTGCTTAATTAACCTTCTCATTTGTGTTTTTATTTAGCTTTTCTTGTATGTCTTCCTGTTATGAATGCTAATGTTAATTTTTGAAGCGAGCTTTTCACTTGCTTACAGCAGGACATTATTGGTGAAATGTCATAATTCACTAGAGGAATATCAAAATTTGCAATATTTCTCTTGATTAGTATGATAAGCAACTGGGGAAGTCTAGAGATTTCATGTTGAAGGCGGCACTGGTAAATTGACTCCTTACAGTAATTACTGTCACTAGATACCTTGTTGTGTTTTACTGTGAGCATTGTTTAATGAGTAGTGGAAGAGCTGGTTCTGGTGTTGATTTACACTCCTTCCACAACGCTTCTGAATTATCTGATGTTTTACACATCAGGTGCATAAAGATGTCTGCATTTGTCCCCAAATCTTTAAATTGCTATACCATTAATCCAAATTGGAGCAAAATGGTGCAGAGAAGTGCAAAAAAGAGTGTTTGTTTCTCTATACATACCTCTGTGGCAAAGTGACTTCTAAGGAGAGAACATCTAGTTCAGATTTGTTGACAAATTGAAGTCAAAGAGCTACAAATATTATTTAAGGCCTAAAAATTATACTTTACTGTAAGAGACTAAAAAACTCTTCCTACTTATTTTATGTAAGAAATATGTGTAGCTGACTTGATAATGGTCTACAAGTATAATACAAAAAGAGTTTTCAGGTGGTGGTTGCCTCTTCAGTCCAGCAAGTTAAAAAAGGCATAATACATTTTTTTTGTACTTACCACATCTCCTTCATTCAGGATTGTGTGTATTCACAGATGAGAAAATATCTCATCAAAATAGGAGAAATACAATGTAGTTGAATTGAATATTAAAAAAAAAAGCTACTTAGAAGGGATTACAGAAGTTCCATTTCAAAAACAGGGTTTTTTTTCTTTCTGTAGTTATTTCTCTTTCTCATTTCAGTCAAGTTAAATGTTACTTATTCTTCAGGATGTTACTGCAGAAGGGCAATAACACCAACATTTGAGTTTTTGATAATAAAAGCCCATTCTATCTTGTATTCTTCAGAGCATTAGGAACTTTTTCTGCATTATGTAGCATATATTAATTTGATAAGTAATTTCAATTTTATTTCATATTGTGTAGAAGCAGATTTTTTTATTAGATTGTTCTTTGTCTTTTGACAATTGGTTGACAAATTTTTATTTTAATTAGAAAAATTGATGTCTACCTTAATGCTTATGGTTTTGTTCATTTTGGTTTGCTTTGGAATGCCTAATAATTTGTAAAGAACTTGCCTTTATCACTTATGATCACTGTTTTTAAACTTAAGCCTTCAATTAATGCTTTTAAATCTGTATTTCAACCATCAGAAGTCTGAAAGAAAAAATACCCTTCTGAAATGGATGGCAAGTCTAAATTCACAAAGCTGTTTTTGTTTGTTTATACAAGTTTCAATAACAAATCAGAATTAAATTGTCAATATTCTTATGCCTCATAAAGGCATTTTCACAAAGAAGTCATTCTTTGGCTCCTTCCTATCCTTTTTGGGGTTGGTGTGGTTTTTGGTTTTTTTTTTCTTTCCCCTTTACATTCTGCATTAGAAATCAGAAAACTTAACTTCCCTTGGGATTACTGAACTGAAAAAATCAGGAAAAACATAAGCATTCTCAAAGATTCTTTATTGGTTTCCTTTTTTTTTTCCCATTCATTCTACTGTTTCTCTGCTCACATTTTGTGAAGTTTCCTCACTTTCATGTTTCTAATTTCTCATTTAGTTTCTCTTTATCTCTACAAAGTCTTTTTATAGAAAAACATTCTTTGCTTGCCAGACTTTAAATCTTACTTTAAAAAAAAGAAAAAAAGAGAAAAAGACTCACATTCAATGTTAGTTTTGGGGCTCTTCACGTCTCAGTACAACACTTTTGTTTTAAGGGTTCTTTTTTATTTTAAATTAAACATACATAAAAGGAGGCAAGCAGAAGAAAATCAAGTACAAGTTGCTATTACTGTCTCATATTTGTAACTTAACTGCTGACAAAGAAGAGGTCTCTTACACAAGTAATAATTTAATCAAATGCTTCAGCCTCTTGTAAATTTTAGAAGAATCCAACTGTGATTTAAAGCATTGCTTTAGCTCAATTTCTTGTCTTGGCACAGTTTCAAGGGTTGTCTTATCTATGACAGTGAGGACAGATCTTCATTAATAAAAGGCAAAATAGATTTTGCAAATCACTCGTATAGTGAATTGAAATCCCAATTTTTAATTCTGGTTGGGTTTTTTGTGGGTTTTGGGGGTTTTTTTTAACCTTTGTCCTTCTTGGACATTCTAGATTCAAATTCATATAGGGGTTTCAGTACAGTTTCCCACAGGGTCTCATAGAGAGCATTGAATTTTATCTGGTCGGTCTGTGCTATGGGAAAACTTGCAGCATCTGGTTCATTTAAGAGTGGAGTTAAGTCGTATTTGATGGCAAATTACATGCATATGGATGTTTCTAGGGGCATACTTAAGCTTTTGCTTGAAGTACTTTCCAGGAAGTACTGTATTCAGGAAAATAGAGTAAATTAGAGGTAATTACATTCTTTTTGCTATCCTGTCTGACTTAACTATTTAGCTTACAGATTTCTTACTTCAGGGACTACCTCTTTTGCATACAGTGGATTTTGTGACTGTTGGTACCTCTAGGTACTACTGTATAACGGCTGATAGGAGGCAGTGCTTTGGTGTTGCAGTTATCACAAATCACATGCATTTCCTGTTTGCTTTTTAAAATTTGTGAGTAGCAGAGTGACCAATTCCATTAGAAATTATTTAACAAGGCCTCCAGTAAAAGATTCCACCGGAGATGTTACAACTGCATTTCATTCATGGCAAAAGCCTGAGGAACTGAATCATGCTCAAGTCTTTAAAATTACCACCAAGAGCCAAAATTTTGTTAAAGCTATTTTGGAAAAAGCAAGCAAACAGCAAAACCAAATAATTATTGATTACATAGTCTGTGATTTGATATTGGCAGTTATTAATAACATGAAAGGAAAATTGTGTGTGGTTCAGTTTGGGGTTTCTTGCTTATGTGCGTTGGTTAGAAACTGCAAATCAGTTTCTAGTCTTTCATTTTAACTAGCTGACTGTTCTTTTGTTTAGGGTGGAGCATATCACGATCCACACACAGAAGATGGAGCATCTACTAAGGAAAATAGAATTCTGTATAATGACCCTGTTCCGAGAAGAGTTGGCAGCTTTTACAGAGGTAATTTTATGGTGGCTCTTTCAAAATTAAGCAAGAATTTTAACATGGAATATAAATTAAGTAGTGGTAACGGATACAGAGAACTAACATGAACAACTAAAAAAGTCTATTGGAAAAAGAACTGTTACCCCATCTTCAGAGACTGGGCTGACCTGCTAGGCTTTGTGCAGTAACTGTATTAATATCATATTATCTATTCACAAATGATAGCTCACTTTGAAAAGTATATCCAGTGCAGTACCTTGTAAAGCAGAAGATAGTTTATCAGGGGGAGTTGAAAAAAATAAGTTAATGTTACCAGACTAAACAGTTCATTAATGTTTTTAATTTGAATTTTAAATTCTTATTAACATTATATCTAAACACCTTTGTACTTGTAACACATTGTGACATACTTACCGATCTATTTCAGATTCTGTCATGCATGGAACTGTAATGCTAGCTTTTCAGTGCTTGAAACTTATATTAATTCTTTTGTTCAAACTTACTAAAGAATAGGGATTCCTACAAGTAAAAGCACACTTACATAATCCCAGTTCAGAATAAATAATAACCCAGGACTGTGTATGTGCATATATATGTATATGTATATGTGTGTGTATATATATATAGAGAGAGAGACACACATATAGGTATTATTCTATTGTGGTGCACAAAAGATGGTGATTTCTGAGCAGCTGCTTCATGGCTAAACCTGGGTAATCCTTTTGAAAAAGAAGAGGATGATAAGAAACTAATTAATGCACTGCAAGTGTTAGGAGGCTTGTGGGGTTCCCCTGCACCTTAAGAAGTCCCAATCAGCAAAAATTCGATTATGAGTCACCTAATAACCTTAAGTAGAGTCACAAATCTCCCTCTGATCCTCTTCAGGTTGATCAGTTGGCTGATGACCCGATTTAGATGTTAAAATCTGCCAATCCCTGCAAATGTCCCATTGCAATATTAAAACTCTTGAACCAGTATTAAAGCTTGTACTGTTTTGAGCAATGCTTTTGAGTGTAAGGTTTTGTAGCACATGCACAGAGAATCCTTATGAATTCTCAATCCTGAATTGCTTTTATTAATCCTTAAAAGACTCATAAAATTGGACCTGGATTATTCTTCTCTTTTATACATAGTAAAACAGAAGATCCAAGAAAGGATGACTTTCCATAAGTCATGTGCTAAGGAAACTGTAGGTCTGCAGTTGCACTCAGTTCCTTACTATAAACTAGTTTTCTTCCTCTTTAATTATATCTATGAAACAAATACATTTTACTTCACAGACTTAACTATTGCATTGGAAAAATTATACTATATTTAAATAATATATAGATAATAGTATATGCAAAAACTACTGAAAGAAAAAGTAAATTCATATTTATATATTCTTAAGTAGTGACTTAATACAAAGGTTATTAGCATGTACTTTTGTACTACAGGTTGAATAAAAACTTACAGATTCAGTTTTGATAAATAGTACAGTTTGATGCTGCAATAATGCTGCAACTAGTGTCTCATTAATTTTTAATCCAGTGCAGGTATTTCTGGTGATATTCATAATTCTAATAAATTTATGGTCTAGGTATGTATAACGTATTTTCAAAACCACAGTATGTCTGTCTGAAAAATTTATAATACCTGATTTTGATACTTTCATTTTTTTTTCAGGATGGGTACTATTTTTTTAAGGTCTAAGTGAAGACAAAGTGTAAACTGTAGTATTTTGTGTCCTTAATAACAGTATTCCAACCTTTTTTTCTATTTCCTGTTTTTAAATATCGATCGCACTTGTGCTCCCTTCAGATAGAAATGTTCTCAAATCTCATAACAGCTTACCCAAGTTCTGATGATGGTCTCATTTTACAACTAGTATTACCTTGCAAGTATCACAAACCAACAGCTTTCCAAACTGTAAAAAAAGTATGTTTTTTCAGTCATAAAGTACAACTGTGTGTTCAGTGTCTTGTTTCTGTAAAAGAGGTAGAGTGGAAGCAGACAGCTGAAAGATGTGATTTTTGGCAGAACTCAGTATACATTGTTTGCTATTTCTCTGTTCAGTTCCATCTCCGCGTCCAGAGAGTACGTACATAGAAAACAATGTGTCAAACAGAACCTCTGTGTTACCAGCAGACAGCAGCACGGTGGCAAACCACACAAAGAGACAAACCACCTTTGATACCTGGTGAGTTGTTATTTACACAGATGTGTAGAGAATGGCAGGAAAAATAGGATTTTTAACAGGAGGAAAAAAAAAAACCCCACATTTTTTTCAAAATTTGCAATCGTCTATGTGTGCTTAGTTGCTTCCTCTGACTATACTGACATAGCATTGCATGTTTGCTGTCCCGTTTTGAGCAACAAGAAATACTTCATTACACCATCACAGTGAATGCATTAAAGATTTCATACTTTTGTCCAGTCTTTCCAGATTTTTTTCCCACTATTAATCTCTGGTTAAAGATAATACAAAGTGCTTGTGTGCATATAGTATGGAAGGCCGTAGCTTCGTCTGTGGATTCCAGAAGCATGAATTTTATCAGACAAATGGAAAAAATATAAAAATGCATGTTTCTGTATATAAAATAGGACTGTATTAATGAAGACTATAATATTCACCCTACAATGGGGACTGCTGCTCTTTTTGCTTACACACCAGAGAAGGAAATGTGTACGTTCTATGGGAAAATGGACTAAGCCACATCTTAATGGTGTATATTGATTTTAAAAGATTAAAAGCATCACATGGCTCCATTATATAACATAGAACAATTAACTATAATTATGCAAATAGAATGACAGCATATGCATAGCTCTGCAGGACTGAAAGGGAAATATCTTAATTTTCTTGCTCTGAGCTGTTCAGATCTAAAATACTCTTAATCTTTCACATGGTTCAATCACAATAAAGCACACTGAATAAAAATAAGCAAATGGAGCTTCAAAGGATTGGTGGGAGGAACGGACTGTATGCATTCGCATGGTTCAACTGTGCTTCGTACCACTATCTGAAACACTGCTCTCTGAAAGTGCGATAAAGTCATGCTATCTAAAGAACTGTTTCAGTGGTTTGTTGACTTAATGTGTTTTCACGTGAACCACCTCTGAATTATCTGCTTAAAAAAGAAAGGGTGTGGAGAGGGTGGGGAAGGGAAACAACTGGTATTTCAGCTTGTGTTCAGGTTATGTACCCATGTCAGTGATGGAAGATGTTTACTCCAGAAGCCTTGTCACCTGCTCTGATTCACTAGAGTCTGCTTCCTGTCCTTCAGTAGCTCCACCTACGTCCATTTTGTGGAAGTTAGCTGAGGAATCCCATAATTTATATAAAAAGGTGGTATTTATGTTGTGACTTATGTGGCTAAAGAAGGTATTTATTCCTACTGTTGAACCCTTTTACATATTTTGTTGTCCTTTGTATCTGAATCTTTCTATCTTGCATATAAGATAAGCCAACTGGAATCTCGTTTTGCTTTATATATCATTCAGCAATATCTTACCTTTTATTATGTGGTCACTGCAAAGAAACATGTAATGTTATTTTAACTCTGAACTGAAATAATAGCGTGTGTTATTAGAGCTGGATGGGAATTTTTTGGCTAAGTATTTTTTTGCTTACAATGTCAAATTATCGAAACCAAAACTTTTCAAAGGAATAGACTGATATCCACTAACATTTTATTGGGAAGATTCTTCAGCTCCAGGATGGAATTGCTAGTCAAAACCAGAGATACACTCAAAATAACAAATATTCTGGGGTCAACATTATTTTTTGGAATGTGAGGAACTCAAGTGCAGGGCCTTTGTTCTTCATTATTTAAACCAGAGGCTTGAACCAAGATCTTAGATCTAACAAGTGAACGCCCTGAACCAGAAGTTAGAGGTCATTCTGGAGCACATTCTCTGTTTCCCTCAATATATCTTCTTGAAGCTGTTTCATCTTGTTGAAATAGTGAAAGGACCACAGAGATGCAATATGGCCTAGCAAATAAAGTTCTTCATTAACTTTGAGACAGTTAGATTTAAGTCCTTGCTCCAATTAATGTATTTTCACAAAGTGGAACAGCTCCTTTGAGAGAAGAACCCACAGAAGAATAAGCACTTCTTGTGAAATGGGAGGAATGGCAGTGCCCACAACACCAAGTTACTGCTATTTTGGCATGAGTTTCTCTTTCTCTTTGCTTCTCCTACTCCCTGTTTTCCTGAAATGTTTCCTGCCCAGCTCTACGTGTAAACTCTGTGCAAGTTGTCCCGGCAATGGTCTAATGTTGTTGCAAAATTGTTCTGTGCCATAAATGCAGCTTAATCAGATTTCTGAGTGATGTAGAGTCTATGTTCATCTACTTAATTTTCTGTATAGAAATTGTGTAAACGCTTATGAAAATGTTGAAAGCTCTAATGGAATGTGATACTGCTTACATCAATTTTATGATGAAGTAAATATTTGATGTTTGACTGACATACGTAACTGGTACATGACAATTCATCTCAAATTATGAGTGACATGTATTCCACCTGGACTTGCCACTACTGTAAAATATTGCTTCTCTCATACTATTGCTCTGTGTTGCCTTTCTTCTGTCAAAGATTTTGTGAATGTTTGCTAGACTGAATTGTCACAGATGTTCCCTTGTCTTTGTGTGCATTTCTTCACTCTGTCCCCACTGTCCTGCCTCTTTAAAAATAAAGATGTTATAAACTCGACTTTTGTCATCAGGTTTTACTCTTAAATTACTAGATCATTTCTGAACTTTAGACAACTTGATTTGAAAAAAGGCAAATTTTTCATCCTTCTAGAAAATCTTTTCTTTGCCAGAGTTTAATTTCCCTTAAATGACCTTGAACTTGCTCGATTTTTCCATTTTGATACAAGAGTAGATGTTTTATTCCCTTTCACTTGTACAAGCTTTGACTTGAGCTGGGCAGCTGGGCAAAATCAGTAGGTATAGGCAAGATGCTTAAGCTTGTTCTGCCAGTGTGCCAAAATGTTGGCCTGAGTTATCTTTACCGTTGTTACAGTTCTAAATACCTCTTTGGAATAAACTCCAATATGCGGTACTTCATCCCGCATCATATTGGAAGTGTTCTCATTGATTGCTTAGAAGATATCTGGGGGCTTCTGGAAAGCTTTGTTGTTTAGACCTTGTCCATTTAAATGTATTCATTCTATGACAAACAGCTTGTCATATCTTCTCTAGCATGTGTCATACCTTCCTGCAAAAATAATAAAAAGGGGAAGTATATATGGTATTTATTATTATTTTATATATATATAATGTATATACACACACACAAACTGTCATTCAAGAACAGAACAAAAAAAATAACATCCTGCTTTTAGGAGTGTCAGAAGCGTACAGTTATCTATCTACCATTAATTTTCAAGACTCAAAAAAAAATACAGTACTTTGTAAACATGACATGACTGCTTATAATATCGCTGTATCAGCGTAACGATGTAGTCACACTTAATGTTCCTAAAACTAGAAGGTTACTGATACCTGAGCAAGCTATTTTAAAGCTTGTTCAGCTATGTCTGCAATACAGCTGTTGCTGCACTGTAAATACTTTCCAGTTCATTTACAGAATTCTTGAATTTGTAACAAATATCAGGAAATTACAAATTTGTAACTTGCAAGCTTAAAAAGCACCTGTGTGTGTCAGACTGGCTGGGGCTTTGGGAATCTGCTCTGCATAGCTTGAAGATGCTCACCTTCCTAAGGGTATAGCTTTCCCTCTGGCAGTTCCTGCACAGGACTCTTGCATAGGCATTGTCATCCAGTGTGTTTGCTTTATTCATCTATCTGGCAACATATGAGCCTCCCTACCAGTCTCTTCTTGTAACAAGTGCCTCTTCCCTGGCCCTTCCCCAGTCATCAGTGGTTTTGTTTTGTACTAAATTTTAGATGATGCAGTCTACTGTTATTTGCAAAGAAGCTTTCCAGAATTTGTAGTCATCGATATTCTGTCCAAAAAATAAGCCTACTGAAGTATGTGCTTTATAAGTTTATGAAACCAATAACTTCCAAATGTTTATGGTTACTAATGTTGAATGATATCGTGTGTGTGTGTAAAACGTGTGTGTAAATATATACACATATATATGTGTGCATGTGCACATATATGTGAAAAAAGTGTATATATATATATATATGTGTGTGTATATATATGTATACTTTTTTCAGTGATGCTATAACCTCAGGTGATCTAGTGGCGTTAGTGGCTTCTGGGTGATACTCAGTATGTAAGATAGTAGATCTGGGGTTTATTCCAGATAATAAATCCTCCTTTTTCGCGTGGAAAAAAAAAAAAAAGTATTTGCAGCTCCAAGCAAAGTTCAGATTTGCTGTCTGATTTTTGAGCTTTCAATGTTAGGCTTTTAGACCAGGAATTTTTAGTGGGGGCTTCAGCTTGTGGGACTGGGATTCTTACCTTAGATAAAGCATCTATTTGAGATGCTTCACTACTTCCTGACATTTTCTTACCTTCACTTATGGTAACTCTGTAACTGCCAAGGGTTTTACTTTAAGCAAACCCAAAAGCTAACTTGGAGAATTAGTGTTTGTTCATTTACCTTCCACAGAAAACTTCAGACATTTCAGCAACTCCTCCATTAGACCTTACTTATGTCACTGTGAGTGGTTCAGTAAAGGGAGTACTATACTGGCAGTTTAAAGAGGATTTCCAAGCCAGGCTGCCTGCTGAGATTAGGGTTGCTGAAGAATAACTGAAACAAGCATGAGGAATTGCCTCCCAAAAAGAGCTTTCTGTTACGAATCGATCTATGGCAGCATGAATGCAGCATGCTTCATATTTCTTCTTTTTAGTTAATATTAAAGCACATCAGCTCACTGGCCCTGTGTGGTTTTTCTGCTACACCTCATTGTACCTGCATGAAGTTGGACACCTTTCCTGCCCAGGGGCAATAAATGCTAGTGATAATCACAGAATTTCTGTTTATACCTATGCCTTTTCCAAATGTCTCAGACCAGAATAATCCATGTGATCTTATATGTCCAAAGCATGCAAAAGGCACACAAAGATAAAATAACGAAGAACAGCACGTTTTGCCTTTGGTTTCTGCTTGAGGGTGAGCTCTCTGAGTGGGGGCTCTTTTCTAGGGCTACTCTTACTTGCTAGTAAAAGAGACACTGCGTAACAGATTCTGATGTAGGCCTTTGCTTTCAAGAGCTGACACTTTATGCAAAATACCAAGTTATATTGAAAGTTATGGCAGTTACATTGAAAGAGTTCAGTGTTGAGTGGCTATACCATGCAGATTTTTTTCTGATAATCCTAATTTTCTCCTGTACTGTCCATTGTCTGAAAATCATCTTTAAGGATGCCTAAAATATCCCAGTGTTTCATCTCATCGATCAAAATGTTCTGCTCTATTTTTACTCAGTACAAAATCCTGGTGTTGAAGCTTCCTGCTATAATGCTATATATGTTCACTCTCTTCACATAATGAGCATGTGTTTTGAAGCAGTTGCTTTTCAAGGTCAATGCTTTTTCAGACAACTGTACTGCAATATGAGTCATAGGAGTTAATGACATAAACCAGTCGGTGTAAAACCACTGACTTTTGGGTAAGCAGCAATTGAAAAGGAACAGAGTTCTCAGCCCCTTATTTTTCTTCTCTGTCTGATCACTATAGTCATAAAGAGGAAATGATGGTGCAGAATTTCACTCCTCTCCTCTCTGCTCATCTGCTGTAGAGAGCAGTTTTCTTGTCCAGGTTCACTGGGCCAAATAAAAGAATTCGTACATAAGTGAATCTCTGTCTAAAAGTCTGGCAAAAGTTGTCCCAAGTTTTATTCTGAAGATTAAGTTCACCTTTAAAAATACAGCATCTCCATTTTGGGGTAGACTTCAGAACAGAAGAACTATAGCTAGACATTGAAAAATTTTAGAGGACAATGTAGAGTGACTACATGGGGACTTCCTTGTGATCTGACATTGGTTCCTCAGCAGACAAGGTAGTCGCTGGGTTGGTAATTTGTACTGCGTCTGTGGTCTGGGGTATGTTTGCAGATGTGGATGCACAGTAGCTCCTTTGGGAAAAGGCTTGGAAGATTCTCAGCCCCATTCATGTGACTTTCAGAGTACAAGCAGGATACATGGGGTGCATGCCTACCTCCAACTTTTCTGACAAATTAAGTAAAAATCATTTAGTAAATAATTTGGTAGGTGTTTTGTCTGTATTAAGTCCTTGGTGCTTCAAGTGACTAATACAAGACTGCCTTACTGCTCTTACGCTGTGGTACCAAATACAGGGATGTCACCGAAATAGGAATCCTTAGCGATCCAGTATATTTAAAACATGCATTATAAATCTAATAATTATATTAGAGTTTTTTCCCGTAGCATTGTAATTTTCATGTTAAATCTATGTCATTGTGCACCCGAATGTGTTTCCCAGATCTAGATGTAAGTTCCAAAAATCTAAATTCAGAAAATACCCACCTTCCTGCCTGCCTATAAATCTATCTTCTAAGCCCATTCTCTTACTCAACAATTGCACTTTATTACACTATTTAAACACTGCGTGCATTTCTATTTAGAAGCAGGTAGCATTTCAGGCTTGAGGTGGTTTTGTGTAGAAGTTGAGGAATTGATGAAACCGCCTATCAGAGTGAGGAATGCTCATCGATAAGGAGGATGACTCCAGTGGTTCCTACCCCAATTATGTGTTTCACATTTGCTTCGAAAAAAATGTCAGCTTGGCATGTAGTAGCAGCTGAATCACCAGCTGATAGCATAGCATTTAAAGCCAGAATTAGAAGCCAAAGATAACTATAGCAGACAGCTAAGTGTTGCTACATTACAGTTACTCCAAGAAAAGCTGCTCCTGTTTGTCATCCAGAGCCCTTAGAACTGTGGCTTTCCTTTAGGTTTTTCATCAAGACAATGGAATAATTTCATTTGTGTTTTTGTACAACTTAAGACTGAAAAAGGACTATTAAATCGCCCAGTATGATTTTCTGTGTGTAAGTTGCCATTAAATGTCATCTGTTCTCTGGGGTCCAGGCCCAGTAGCATACCCGACTAACATGTATCTCCCAGAAGAGCATGCGGTCCTGGTTTGAAATGGCAAAGATGGGAAATCCACTTCTTTCACTAAGGAGTTTTTTCTGGCGGTTCATGATTCTCATTGTTAAAATCAGTGCCTTACTACTAATACGACTTCTTCGGCTTCATCATCCACCTCCTTGTTCTTGTTATGGCTTTGCCCTTTACTTTAAAGATCCTTCTGGTACTCTGTAATTTCTTCCCGGATAAGTTACTTGTGCACCACAGTCAAGGAAACTAAATGTTGGAGCTGGTTTGGCTGTGTTTTTTAACATACTAAAGAAATGGAAATCTCTGACTCTTAATGTAGGCCATTCTTTCTATCTCTGAAATTATTTCTGTGACACTTTCCTGCACCACTTCCAATTTTCAAACTTATTTTAAAGGGCAGTAGAATTGCATTCGGTTATGTCTCACCAATGTCCTACGTAAACCATCTTTTTACCCCATATCAGTATTTTAGATACATAGTTCACCGTGTATACTTAAAGTAACATGCTGTTTATCAGCTGTAGTTAATTCAGCTGTGCAGACAAATTAAAAGATGGAAATTCAATCTTCAGGCAAGTCACCTGTTACACTTTCGGGTCATCTTTCGCCAGCACTGTCTCACCCATGCATAACAAACTAACTGAAGTTTTTAAGTTGTAATGGACAACAGTAGATCCCCAGCTTCCCCGGTGATAAATTTGGAATCATGTCAGCAAAGGTCAGGAAGTTCAATTGGAATTGGTTCCCCTGGTGAACTTTGCAACTTTTGGCTCTCCAGCAAGCAATGGATAAACAGGACCTGTGCTTTTATACCTCATCACCATTTGTATGTTCTCTCAGATATGATTTTCATTTTTCTAAAAGACGTTGCGTGTGATATTTTGGTTTGAATATTAAATCCTGGCTTTAAAAAAAAAACAAAACAAGACATGCATGCTTTCCTTTTCCCTAAATAACTATTCACTGGTTTGAGCTAAACATTTTACCTTAACACTGTGTTCCTCCTATCCCACTTAATAAGACTATTTATCTGGGATTTGCATAGTAACCCTTGAACCAATGAATGCTAAAACATTAAGAATCTTTTTGCTTTAATCAGTAATTTGCATTCTTTGGCATAAGATCTCATTATTACATAGAATTTATATAATATCAAAATAAACTCTCTCTTACAATACTTTATTTCATGTTTAGGAAAAGTCCTGAAAACCTTAACAGTCACTCAGAACAGCTCAAGGATAAAGAAAAGCAAGGTTTTTTCAGGGCAATAAAAAAGAAAAAGAAGAAATCTCAAACTGTAAGTATACAGTATTTCTGAAAAAAAAATATTTTTATCAGTTTTGAATTTTACCATTTTAATATGCTAGATTAGCACAGTACCTTGGTATTATTTGTGATCATGCCTGTATGTATCTATTTTCTCTCTTCACAATATGAAAGTCAAATTCTTTCCCTTTTCAGGGTTTATTTGTCTGCCTTTTCAATTATTTCTTCACCTACTAGTCCTGTGCATCTTTGTTTCCACTCAGACCCCTTGAGAGCCAGTTTTGATGCAAGGTTTAAGCTGATGTTGCAGCAAATTTGTTTGCAGGATATGGTGATACCATTCCAAGAATAGCAAATGCATTACTGCGTGTCCTCAGAGCTTCAATAATTTCAGATAAGGAGACCAAACTGTTATAAACAAGGATTCTTCCAGTCTTTTTCATGGCAGCGTCTTGATAACAGCCCCTGTCTTGCTGCACCCCATGGTGGGAATAAGGATGATGTGTCTTAACCATTATTAACATTTTTTGTTCTACTGGGGGAATGGATTGAGGCTTTTATTATTTGGTATAAGCCTTTGCTGTCTTTTATACATTTTTACATTTTCATCTAGTTTTTGAGAGCAAGAAAAAACTTTCTTTTATCAGAGAGCAGTGGTATATTAAAGTTCACAAAGTTTTATAATGAGAATCTCCCTAAGAACTGAAGTAATCTAAACATCATCTCATCTCATTCTCCAATAACAGTTCTGGAAACAGTAAAATATTTACAATTTCATTTATATAAAGTCGCAATGTTTCTGTAAGTGTAATTGCAGTTCTATTTTTGAAGGTTCTCAGAATGGAGCAAATCATGCTTACTCTTGTCGAAGGGGAGTAACTAAATCAAAATAGCATGAGGTGGCATGGCTCTGGGTATTGGTGGAGGTCTGATGTGTTGAAAATTGGGGGAGAGGAGCAATTACCAGGCTTTTTTTGTTCATTTGTTTGTTTCTTCAAACTGTATAGAACATGTGCATGTGTGTGTGTTAACTAGCACTCAGAAATGCACCTTGCCTTCCTGCTGGGCAGGTTTTAGAGCAGTGGCATCTACGTCTCCTTCTGAACTTGTTCATCCTGATACCTGTACCCAGTTCAAATATGATCATTTCCATTACACAACTGAACAAAATACCTAGATTATAATTCTGGGATTATTTGATATCAAAGTGTCTGTGAAAGGATAGCACACCTAAGGCCATTGGTTCCAGTGATGCATTTTCAAAAAAAAAAGAAAAAAAAGGTGTTTAGTTTGCACTGTTCTAGTCTACTCTGATCCAGCCTTTCAGGTGGCAAGGAACACTTTAAAAGCCCAGCTGATAGATGGTGTATCAACTACTTCCAGATTAAACTGTATGAAGGAAATATAGACTGGATTGCATTGCATCTCAAAATCTGGCACTTTCTAAAACATCTAAATCACAAGTACCTTGATCTATAGCTACCAAAGACATCACTGATGACAAGACAGGACAGATTTATACATAATCTTTACTCCTATTTCTTCTCACTGTTAAGAGGAGGGATAAAGGGGAATGGGGGGAGAGAGAGATTTTGCATAAGGGAAAATTTTGTTAGCTAGTTAGAGCTAGTATCTCACAGGAAGGTGAATAAATTGGTGAAATAAGATAGTGATAAAACTCTTGCATCCTCAGCTAGAAACTTGCTGACATCAATTTGATTTTTGGACCCAACCAGAGACTGAAAAACCTCTTTTCATTTCTACTTCCAGATGTTGAACAGGGATAGGCTGTACCCACTGAAGTGTGTACAAGTGTCTGGTTCAGACACTGTTCTTTGTCTCTTAGTTGAGGGCATCTACATAACAGACATCGGGACGTTCATTAGGATCTTCCAGCACAAACAAAAATTATCACCTTCAGTTCAGCACCAAGTTTGACTTCAGTAGTAAATGCTGTTAACAGCACTGTAATATTAGCTCTTCGACTACATGAATAATGTTTTCTATGAACTCATATTAAAAATCTAACATATAATGACTAACCAAGATTTTTTCTGAGGCTTATAAGTTCTAGAAGTATGTAATTCCACTTATTTACTGTGACAGAGACTTTCTGCAGCAAATAACAAACTAGACCAGAGAACTGTCACAATGCTGAGAAGTATGTCATAGAATTAGAGTTTGCTAAGGGAGTGATAATATCACATCCACTAGGTACTATTTACTTCTGATATCCTTCGGTGAGTCTCATTTTGCTGGTGATCATAAGAGTCATAAAAGAAATCTGACATTGGATTGAAGACATCTTCTTAATGTCATTCTCAAAAATCTCTAATAGCCAAAACCTGATCCCAGTTCCTGATACTTCCTCCTGTAGAGCTGCTCCCGTTAATCATTCTCCCTAGACTTCTCCAGGTGCAGTTCCTCATGGCATAATAATCATTACTGCCTGCTACAGGAATTCTTTGCAATATTGTTTTTGCATAGCTGTTCTTACCCATTTTCCTTTTCATCTTGTTTTAAGTCTTTTAGTAAAGTAGCAAAAGGTTTTGAGGATTGCTAGAGTCACATTTTTTTCTGTCATCTGCCACCAAATAATTTAATATCCATAAGGGTTGTGCACAGTGACAATAGGCACTATCTTCAGAGGAGCCAGAGTTTTGCAGATTTTGGCACATATTGCAAGCTATGGGTCTGAAGAAATTACCTGCTTTGGAAAAAACAGTTACAGGTGAGCATTTCTCCTAGCAATGCTTTGATTCCTTTTTGATTTACTGAACTTCAAACAGGAAATTCTTCTGGCCATGAAGTTCCTAAACAAGCTATGCTAATTAGTGACTCTGTCCTTTTGTTAACTTGCATGGAATCTAGAAGCTGAGAAAGCTGTTTGAACACCCTCGCTTTTGGTAGCACACCCATCGTTCTCTTTAGTCATATAATCATTATATTGTATTATAGAGTTTTCTTTTGGTAGGCAGAATAATGCTAGACACCGCGTATGTGTCCTGTGCTTGTTTATACCTGAGCAGGGGAGAAATAGTCCCATGCACAATTTTAATACTTGATAGTTCTGTTTGCTGTTTATGCATCCATTGGTATGCTCTTTGATTGTGTTACAGAAATTAAACAGGCAGTGCACTTGCAGTTATACATGAGGTTATTGAAGGCACATTTTTGTCAGAACTGAAATAATTCATCTTGGAGCCCTAGCTCCTTTTACAAGTTAAAAATAGAATACTTGTATTTCTTCTAAAGGTAACTATCAACTGCTCATTCTAAAACCAATCACTATTATTGCTGGTGTATCTCTGATATTTTATTTATATAAAAATAAGAAATGTCATACTGCTTTAGCTCATTATCATAGGTAACAAATGATTGCCGGAATTACAGGATTTGATCCAAAGCTCAGTAAAGTCAACAAGACCTACCAGTTGTTTCCAAAAGGCTTTGAAACGCACTCTGCATTCCTAGTGAACATGGATATAAGAATAGGCGTGCTTATCTCTTTTTACATGCTTTTTATGCATTGAGTTCCTTGAATTTGTTCCATATGCTTTTTTCGTTCAATCACTATTGTATTTTCCCAAAGCAAATTATAGGATTGATACCATATATTGTCAGAATTCAAAAAAAAAAGGCAAAAGAATTAATATAGTAAGGACAGATCTCTTGAATTGAAATACTATGCATTTAGTTTTTGTATCTTATATTGCAGACAGACTCAACCAACGGGGAGAATCCAAGCATCAAGAAATCCCTCTTTCCTCTTTTTAATTCAAAGAATAATTTAAAGCATAGTTCTTCTTTGAAAAAGCTTCCTGTAGTCACTCTACCCATGGTATTAATTTTTAAGTACAGTAGCACTGTAAAATGTTCCAGTAAACTTGTTTTACTGACTACAGCAGCATGTGTTTTATTTTCATGGGATCACTTTCTCTTCATGCCAGTTAAGTATCTTGGGCCAGTTCGATAAATTTAAGTAAAATTGGCGGTTCTGTTGAAATAGATTGTGCCTAAAAATATTTTTTTTAGTATTTAATATACTGAAAATGTAACATACACAGTTCCAGACAGAATGAGCCCTGGGACTAAGACTAAAGGAGGAAAATAGTTGTGAAACCATGTATGTTTAAAATTAAGCTGTCTCATTCTGTTTCAATCAGGAAAAAAATTAGCCTGGTTTGTTTTATAACTATATTGGAAATACATCTTTTTTATGCAAACTGCTCCTTTATATATAAATTTAGTTAATCAAATATTAACAACAGATTATCTGAAAACTAAGTTTTAGCTCACGCATCTGCTGTATTTTTGTTTGTCCTGATTGTTCATGATAAAACACACCTTGCATTAAAAATAGGTTACATTTTAACTGTCCTTTTTTGCTCAGAATTCTTGAAATGAGATGAAACTGCACATATAAGTTTTAAATTATCCTTCTGACATAAATTTTGTTGGATTTTCAGCTTGGTTTTGGGGGTGGCAGTGGTCGGGGAGTTTCTTAATTTTTGCTTTAGTTTGGAATATTTGTGGAGGAGGAGAAAGATGGGGAAAGGAAAAGCTCTCTGTTTTGTGATGGCAAAATCAGCCAGACATCAGATTAGAGAAATTTTGGTCTGCTTCACTCAGGAACAAATTTATAGAACTGATCCATGGTCTTAACTGCAGTATGGAATGCTTTTTAAATGAAGATGAGGCTCAACAAATTTATTTATTTATTTATTTATTATTTTTGAAGCCTTGTTTAACTGCTCTCTCTTACAGCAAATAACACTAACAGCATGTGAATGCTTTAAGGGCTAAGGGTATATATAGCAAATCTGCATGATATCCACAGCCACTTGCTCTTACTACGGGGAAAAATATGGAAAGGTCATTGCAATTCTGCTGCAGTAATGGGCTTCACTTGCGTTTTGTAATTAACTGGGGGAAATGATTTTACAGCTATTCTTAAGAATATATTAGGAAACCAGTATCTAATACTTTGTTGCAGATGCCTAGCAGTGATGGTCAGGATCTCTTGGCGTTACAGAAAGCCATTCATTCTTCTAATCACCAGAGCAGCAGGCAGAAGGATTGGCATCCTGAGAAGATGACAGAAATCCAGCCTCATGTAAGTGGCATTATCAGTTCTCTGTATTTTAACATCACTGAGGTATCTCAACACCTTTTTCTCTGGTGAATATAAAAATTGCATCTGACATTATTCCCAACCTCCCCGTTCCCCGCTCATTGAGTGTGAAAAATCACGTGCCTACAGTCCTGTATAATTCTTTGAAAATCTAGACATGAGTGACAAGGGAAAGAAAAGAGACTAAATGTCCCTGTGTGTCAGTCTTTGAGCCTGTCAAAATACTGGTTATGCTGTTGTATTAGAGGCAAGCAATGTTTCAGCACAAGTCTACAGTAGCTCTGCAGCACTGTAGAAAAGCCCTCAAGTTAGCTCTGCAAGGAGTGGTGCATCCCGAGGGCGCGCTGCTGCTTGGTGGGGTCACCAGAGCATTTCCCCCCATAAAGTAATTTATGGGGGGAAAAAAATTCTGATGTAGAAAAGATTCCATCTTTTCAGGTAGCAGATAGATTGAATCATAATGAGAAGATGTCTTCTCAGGTGTGTAGTCATAGCTTGGCATGAAATATTCCAAATGAATACAAATTAAAAGTGAAGAAGTCCTGTGAAGTTCAAAATGTTCAGTTTAGGATGACAGTTTTATGATGGGAAGTCTGATAAGGTGGGGAGCAGAAGGTCAAGTGGTTTTCCCCGTGTCTTTCAGAGCCAGCCATTAAAATCTCTCCGAAAGCTCTTACATCTGTCCTCTTCAAATCATCCTGTCCCTGCTGAGCCTCGCTTCCAGCCCTTACCAAGTCAGCCAGCCAAAGCTTCTTTTTCTGAAGTGCGAATTCACCCCATGAGTCAAAGCTCCAGCAGCGGCAGCAGCAACGCGCGGCAAGAGCCCCAGCCGAAAAGCAGACCGACGCTGCAGATACCAAGCCAGCTGGAACCTACCTGGCACGTCTCCCCGGTGAACAGGAGCGCAAGTGATGGGCCTCCCTACTCCGACCAGCTGCCTTCCAAGAGCGGACAGAACGGGCACACGTATAACCGAACAAACCGATCGCGAATGCCAAATCTGAATGATTTAAAAGAGACAGCCTTGTAACTACACTCCAGAAAAGAGGCCAGTTCAGGTGGAGATCAGCGTAGGGGAGCGGTGGTGGTTCTGGTGATGGTAAGACTGCATTTTCAGCTTTATAAAGGTGTGCAATGTGTACATGTGGAACTATGCTGTTTGGCACCACAGTGAGAGTCAGGGATTATACAGTAAAACAAGTTGAATTATGAATTACCAGTCATCAGAAATGTCGCTGGATGCCAGGCAGAGTGTGCCGGTCAGGGAGAAAAATGCATTGCCGTTTTCTCTCATTTACATTCCAGCTCAGTGCACTTCTCTGTCTGAAAGCTGGGAGACTTCTGGTAGGTATTGGCACTTAGAAGGGTGAAAACATTCATGTCTAGACCTATGCCCTTACTACATTTTTTGCTGCCTAGTTAAAACAGTGGGGTTTATGTGATAAAAGTGTATCCCCGTTAAGGGTTTAAAGTTAAATTGTATGTCTTAAATTTGTTTTTTAAACTTCCATATTTGATAGGATTTGTAATATTTATTTATGACAACCTAATATCGTACTGTTATAATCATATCTTTTATGTTATAATGTAAAGTTATTTTGAGCTGTTTGAAACATTGTGAAGCAGTGCAACAGCTACAGTAGTTTCTATAAAAAACTAACAGTAACATTTATATATTGCATCAGGAGTATTTTATTCTATATATAAATATATATATAAATGGAAAATAACTGTCTGTTTTTTAAATATACTCATTTAAAAGAAAAGTATTGTTATGACACTATCTGCCATATTTTTATACATTTGTGATATAAAGTGCAGTATTATACTTCTAATAAAAGGAAGTTGAATGTGGATATAAACGTGACTGTAACAGTATGAATCTTGCTCAGCTATGAGAGCCTGGTATTATAGGCATTATTGGTAACAAACAAAAGACGACATTCAATTCCAAGCTTTATTATGGGCTATTTTGTTGGAAGTATTGGCTAAAATGTAAGAGACTGCAGAACTGTACAGTAACCTGAATGTGGTATGTTCTCCCCTGTGTTCTTAGCTTTCCTAGTAATATTAATGGGATTTCTGCATCTGCATCAAGAGCACAGAGCCCCAGTACCAAATTTTTGTTTCCTCTAAAGAGATAAAGTGCCCCAGGACTACAAGCTAAAGCAGGTGCTCTTCCACTTAATAGCAGGGGTGAAAACCAAAGAAACATAGCATGAATTGCAAATGAAATGCCAAACTTCAACACTTACGCATAGCATGGCACTGCAGATCATGGTATAAGCTTTTATGCATATGTGTATTTTACATCTTGTTTAGCAATCTATTAACTAATAAGATAAACACTGTATTTAAATTTAAACTACTCTTGCACTTTTTATTATATTTCAGGATGTATTTAAAGCTACAAATCTCATATTCGGATATTGAGGGAGAAAGTTGCCATGCAGCTTAGTTTCTCCTGAGGTCTTACTATCCGAATATTCCCATACACAGTTCAGTTACCAGTCTCAGCAAAACACTAGATCTTAGGTTCCAGTCTCCTGTACAACAGTGTTAAAACTGCCTTTACATTGGTGAACATCACGTGTAGCAAATACACAACCTGATTCCTCTGTTGCTACCGGTCAGCTAACTCAACAGTGAGCCAGTAGGAGTCAAAATTGAGTTATGCCAGTCTAAACTTTGTGCAATAAGGGGAGAGTCAGGCCTGTAGTGTCAGAACAATACAATCTTTCCTTTTTAAACACGTTAGTTCAACTCCCTCATTACTCTGCAGCATAGTTCATTTTCTAGATGCTGTCCTCATGAGACACTTGTACTTGCAAATATGTTGTCTTTTCCAAAAAAAAGATTAACCTGAATGTAAATTCGGTGACTTAGCCATAGGTGTAGTTAACAGAAGCAGCCAGGCAGTAAGAGCTGAACTTCCTACTTGGATAACAATGCAGACTGGACATGCTGTTCAGTACCTCTCGAGTCATACCAAAGTTCTAACAACGGCAAATTTGGCACTGCTACTCTAAGAATCTTTGTCAGAAAGTACATTATGGAAGGATGTTGCATCAGGTTTGTCCCAGGCTAAAAGTCAGTCTAGTAAATTTGAAAAACTATGAAATAAGAATTCTTTCTTTGTCAATTGCCTGCAAGAAATGTGCATGTGATTTTCTATAGATACATACGATATATGATATCTAGATATATATGATACGTACTGTGTTGATATATCATATATATCGCATATATAAATACAGTAGACATGAAAAGGTATTCAGTTTTTGATGAGTTCAGTGGGCATCCAGGAAAGACATTGTGGTATTTCCTAGTCAGTCATCACCGTCAGAGTTTAGCAGCATATTTTAGCAATCTCTTGGATTCACCAGTTGGTCTCAACTAGGTTAGTCCTGTTCTCTGCTTTGCAGTGGGCTGATGCCACTGAAAAAATGGCTGATGCCATCCTTCACAAAAGCAGCGTCCGAGAGTGGGGCTCTAAGCAGTACTACTTGAATGTCTCCGAGGGAGCGTTCAGCCTAGACTCTTCTGTACTTTGTGGATATGTCTCCTTTTGCCTCTGCAAGACTTGTAGCTTGCTGATAAGAGCTTGATGCTGGGGATGACGATGATGCTGGGCTGTATGTGGCTGTTCTGATTTCTAGCAAGCAAAAACTTTTCCAAAGGATTTTTTTTTTTTCTCAGTACCCATTACGTTAAATCCGAGTAATCTCTGACTGTACATATATAGCTGTTTAAAGTAGTTAGTGAAGCTTCAAGGGTGACCCAAGGAATGTTCAAGTATTTGGTGGCCCATATTTACAGAAAGTTGTTTCTACTTCATACTGCATTTTCTTCTCACATTCAACAGACCATAGTAGATTTCACTTGAATACTAAACTGTGTTGAACCTATGTACTATTTTCTTCCTTCTGTTGGCAAGAACTTCCAGCAGCTCGGCCAGCTGGTGCTGGGATAAATTGCGTATTTTTAACCTGGTATAACCTCCCAATACTTAGAATATTGCTAATGTAATTTTGCCAAGGCTTCCAAAGGAGTCTTACTATAGTGACTGAGATTTGCTGGCTCAATAAAGGGGAAGAGAATTACAGAGCAAACGATTTTGTAAGTGTGAGCTTTCCTCTTCACTGGTCTGTGAGTCTTGTGCTACATGTTCTATAGATTTGCTTAGTATAAAGTATTGTAGTTAAACTGCATTTTATTCTTTGGCAATCTGTTTTGCCTTATGGCATCATTAATGATGTGAATAGAAAAGAAACTAGGTTTCAGAAATGAATTGTAGTCATTTTGCAGAACGCAAGCTGCCTAAACTTGTCTGTATGTGTTTACTATAGCTTTTGAGCTCTTGTTAACTAAGAAGCACCTTAAGCTCATCTTAACTGAAACTGTGTATGTGTTTAAGCTGTCCTTTTAAACTGCCATGTAAATGTATTAACCTGAAACAACGTATTTTTTTCAGCAGAGAATGGTCCCTTAGGGCTATTTAACACTTTTTGCTCCGTTTATTGCAGCCCAAGTTCGTTGCTTGGTCGCCAGCACAGAGCGCCGGGCAGAGTTCTTGGTAGGAAGTCAGCAATCTCAGATTCTGTCCCTTCTTCCTAAAACGTTCCCCGTCGCACCGGGCTTGGGACTGACACCAGGCTTTGATTTCTGATACCAAGTCAGACCCACCTAAATGTGTGGAGCCTGACACCACTTTCTTTACAGATGCTTGCTCTTTTAGATCAACGTTAAAGCAGGCCTCAAACTTCCAAACGTACGAGACGGCCTCCGGTCGTCCTTAGGCTCGTCGCCTTTCTCTCTGCTACACCTGCTTGTTTCTGGGAGCAAAGCTGGAGTGATTCTTCAAGAAGCAGTGTCCTGTGATAGGCTTTTAGCCATTCCTTCTCATTGCAGTTCCGTCTCTTAGCAGATGAATCTTACTAGTATAAAAAGCTACATACCAACTTACTGTTCTTTGTTCTTCAAAAGCTACTGTTGCTATTAGCTGAGTAGACTCCCGCATTCACCCAGAAAAAGCTACGACTTCTTAACAATTCAGTGCTGTAGACCTCCTGTGTAAGAAAGGGAACACAGATTATATAGCCCTGAAAGCACTGTTGTGATCTATTTAGCTAAGGCAAAACCCAGACCGCTTTTGCGGGGAGCCATGCTCTAGAACTGTTTGGGGTTTTTATACATGTTTCAGTTTTTTGTTGTCGTACAAGGATTTGGTAGTGAGACATGCTTGAAAAATACCTGCATGTAATTAATTCTGTATGTGTTGAACACTGTCAGAGTAGAGCTGGGAGAATATTTGAGTCCCAGTTACACAGAGTTTGAAAAGGATAGCCATATATGATATACTGCAAATTGTGGGGTGGCAATGAATGTTTTCTTTTTCCATTCCAGCTAGCATACATAATACATCTATTAATGGGGTTATGTCATAAACCATGCATCTGGGCTGTAGTTGATGTCAGTAGGCCCTCCATTCGAAACAGGATAGGAGTGTCACAGAAGATGATTGGGAAGGTGGTGTGCCCTATTTAACCATTTTTAAATGACCGTCATGATATTAACCATTCATTAACTGGGTTTGTAGTGAACGAGGAGAAAAGCCATTTAACTTCTGGCCTTTGTTAAAAAGGGAGCGATTTGAGTAAACCCTTTTAATATAATGCAGCTTGGAAGTTCTAGGTGTTGGCTCCTTTTTCAAAGGGTCAAACAGCAGCAGTGCATCGGTGCTCAGGCTCATCAGGCAAGTGAAGGCCTGTGCACGTTACTTGGTTCAGATGTTGTACTGAAACAAGATGTTTCACTGCCGTCATGAAGCAAATTTCATGAAAATTAAGCAAAGCAAATTTTATAGGAGATCCTCTTTCAGTTTGAAGAGAAAAGCTGTGGTAGGTCATCTGTTCTCTCAGTGGTAGTCCTAACAACTACTGCGTGAGACAGCATAGGTAAATCTGATGGATTAGGTCTGAATTTTACTCACTCCAAGTTCTGCTTGGATGCCTATTTGTTACCTTGTGT